CCTTCGACCCACTGGACTATTTTATGAGCGCTGCCTAGTGGCGTTGCTCTTTTGTGATTTTATAAAGCGTCCTCAGGCTCAAGGAGGCAATTTGTTTAGTTTTACTAATTCCGCATTTTCCACACATTGTTAATTCCAGAGAAGAAATTGTTTTGTTTAGGTTATACTGTTGTGAAATTGACTAATCGATTACACTAGTACTGTTTGGCTTTCAAGCTTTCTTAAGATCTAGTTGAAGGTACGTTAACGTTAAGATTAATGACAATGGCTAATGCTCATTATGAGAGTTAGAGCAATATTTCAACGTCCGCAAATGGGAGCGCAGGCTGTGTGAACGAATACTTTCACAATGGAATCCACTCGTACATTCTCTCACCGGGTTCCACTTCACCGAAGAGCTGAGGATAGGAATGGGGACTATGCAACTCACTCCCATCTAACGGAGGTCAAATATGCACAGCCGGATTTCTAAATTACAGACGATTGCTTTGTTCAAATATAAAATTAGCTCGACATGACAAGGGTTGGGCATGCAGCGGGCGGTGCGCGCTTTGGCCCAGCGGTGAATTTTCAAAACAACACTATTTGGGTCACTAAAAATAGAAGTAATTCACAAATTTGGACGAATGTACAGAGGAGTGTCTAAATTTTGTAACATGTTTAACCCGCTAATAAACGAATATATTTTAATGAATCAAGTTAGGTTTCGTTTCCAACAAATGAATAATAACACTAGCAAGCTATCATAGTCTTGCTTGTTTTCCCTGTATAATAATAGAGTTTAGGTTTCTTAAACAAAAATTTTCGGTACTATTAAATCGTATACTATCTCGGTCGTTTTTTTTTAAATTCTAATAGGTAGATTTAGAACAAATAGAGCTAATGTATTAAAATTGCTGCCGTGGTTCGAATAGCAAACCGTCTATCTATCTAATAGTAGGCTTTTGTAAATTGGTGACCCGGTCGGCAGGCAGGCCTTGTTCAGCTCCGTGACTCGGCCACATTCTGGCAGACTCCATATTTCAAGCTCAACCGTGTTCTCTTTTGTACATGAGCTCATGTAAACTAACAAACTTCAAATACTACATTAAAAACTGGTTTGTACGATAACAGTCTTTGATCAGCACCAGCCTATTGCAATGCTGGACGTAATCCCAATATGTGCGAGTTTGCGCGCTCCTCAGCTTGTCGCATTCATTTCCTGTCAGCAGCCGTTCCCAGACGTTATGGTTATAATATCTTTGAATGCGTGTTGACGATATCTATACATACATATTAGGTATGCATATACTTGGAGTTCCACGCTAATGGAACGGGGAAAGTACTTGAAATAGTATAGATATACATACATTCTCAAAGATACTACGTTACTTAAAACGAACTAATCCTTATTGACCCTTTCGATCGGCGCCATAAAAATACTTACAGGTGTCGCTTTTTTGTCGCTCGAATCCCAGACGAGGCAACCAACTTCTTAAAGCCCTTAAATGACCCTGCTTTACTTACTTTAAAAATAAAATAATGTCTCCATGAATCAAAATATCCTACTGTAGTCTAGGCTCTACTCTATGAGTAGAATCACTGGCTGAGTGAATATAGTTTTGTATTTAGAATGTGTTTGAAAAATGTAATAAGAGAGAATAGAACATCTTGAGAGTTCGTGATGTAACCTAAATAAGAAAATGTGTGAAAGAATACAATAAACCAAGTTTTGAAGATTATTCCAGTTCAAATTTATAAAAGTACCTCTCGCTACGCAATCCGAGCTACGTCCCAGTTACACTACCTACAATATCGATTGCCTCACTTTCTCAAACGCGTATCTTATAAAGAGTGATTATTCAGGAGATGGCAAAAATTGACATTTATTTTAAATTTCTTATCAAGGATATTAATTTGGATGCATTACTTTAAGAATAGGTAAAAGCCAGTCTGTGAATATGAAGGAAATGTGATGTGAAATCAGCCTGCAACATTTGTATATACTCGTACAATCCATATTTTGCATTTCGGTAACTTTGTGCTTTAAGAAACTTGAGTTTAAGAAAGTAAGGCGACAATATTTAAAGTACCTTTCCTTCGGGTCCCGTAGCCGTGTGATGTCCTGTATATTCATAGATCAACGTTGTACAACTCAGTGTTGTATAATTATTTAATAGATCCCTTTTTAAATACCTTTTGAAAAGAGAGTTTCGAATTAACCACTACGAAGTTGCAATAAAACAAACTATAATTTTACGATTACGGGAAGCAATTTATTGTATAGAAAACAATATTTCTTTATGTCAAAATACAAGACACGTGCAATAAAATATCCATTTGGTCAATAAAACTGTTATTTTATATTGCAATGTCGTAACGCGGAAGTGTATCTACCGGTTATGCAACTTAATTGCTGTTACTTACATTATCTCAACTTTTACTGGCCTAGGTAGACTTACTAGACTAGCGTTTCAAAACAAACATTTCTAGGCAGATAGGTAGCTAAGCTGTAGGTACCTCAATCCTCCAATGAAACAGCGTAAACGTAGATTTCGACAGCCGTTTCCGTAGATGTAATTATTAAATTTACTTCTTTTACGTGGATAATGTCCAACATTTTTTTGTGTGTGAATACTTTATAAATATGCAATAAAATATCCTGGGCATAACATTATCAAAGTAAAACAAATCAACATCGGAAGTCACCCATGTTTTCTTCCGCATGATATTGAGCGTATCATAACCGCCTTGTTGTTGCCATAACAAGAACTATTCTTTAAACATTGCACTGATGGTCGACTATGTTTAATCTGAGTTAAAGAAGGTTTTTTAAGAGAATTTAATCCAATACAATACGTATAAAAGAAGTACAAGGCCTCCTAACACATCTCCACGACTGTTAATTATGAAAGTTTTAAGCATGAAATTGGCAAACAAAACGCGGGTAAATTTTGAAACCGTCATTTTGAGTTTCATGAATATCATAGCTATGGTATATAATACACCTCACAAGCTTCTGTCTATTATATATACTTTGGTACAATGCACCAGATTGGATAAATGTAGCCAGAAAATGAAATAAGATGTTTCCAGGGCTAAGAGCGTGAGGCGAGTCTCACACGTGAATTCGTTTTGACAAAGACACAACTTTGTGTCCTTGCAAGTTATCAATGATTTATTGATGTATCTAATCGAAAAAACTTTCTTAGGAATAAAATACTTACAATAAAATATAAATAGAGTGATTGCATTTAAAAAGATAGATTTGTAGTTGTTCTGCGCCCAACAGTGTTTTTTTTGTGGAATGCAAAATAGTTTTACATGACGTACTGAAGTGGACGCTAAAATGGACGCGAAAGTTCCTATGTCTTCACATTTCCTATGTTAAATTCTTCGTTACAAAATATTTGATAAATCTCCAGTCTCCACCTGCATAGTCGCTGAAGACTATATTTCCAACCTTCCACGTCACGGAAGCCTACTGGTATGCAACTTGTGCCCAAATATGGCAGTTGGGAGGACTCGGCCAAATACAATCGGCCAATGTCTTGTTTGTCCGTAATCTGCAGAACTATGAAGAGTGTTCTTAACAACGGACTGCTGTCATACCTTAACGAGAACGACCTCCTTACAATCAATACGGATTTCGCCGAGGTCGATTTATATGAGACCTTCTTGTGTCTTCTGTGGTGTGAAGCCACGTCAAGATCCGTGTCATATCCCAGACATCGCCAAGGTCGTCGAGATGGAGTCCCTATGGTATACAGGTTATTTTTTAGTATAACTTCCTACATGACATTTGCAACTGAGTTTCACATTTCCTGTGTGATGATACATCCAAGTCGCTTTAAAAGGCCAGTCGTTGGATCAGCAAGCTATTAAGTCATACCAGAATTTTTCGTGCCTCATATAAAATTTGATTTATAATCCAGAAGTTTATCTCATTGTACAAGCGTGTTTTTTATATTGAAAATGATGAAAAACAGACGTCTTCAAAAATATACCTCATTTTCAAGATTTTCGAAAAGTAACGTAATAAAACCTACAGAAGCATACAAATCACGTAGTTCGGCTATAAATTTTCGTATTGTACATCGTTCGTAGCGTCGCATGTTTCTTGTATTTGTATTATATCACGAAATTCAATCAAGCCTCAGCCGTTTATCGTGTGCGTACTCAAAACATTGACGAGTTTACCTGCTTCGCCTCGCAAGACTGGATTCGAGAATTGTGCGTCGCACTTCAAATTGCCTTTGAGATAGACCGATCAAGTAAAGATTGATGACGACTTACGATTCTCAGATTCCCGACATGTATTTCCATGCGTTTGAAGATCGTTTCCCTTAAAGTGATCTAAGAAAACTGTCCAGGCCGTATACGATTATTGATGATAATTATTGTTATTTTTCGGATCATCCTCTTCACCGTACAGAGTCATACAGAAACAAATTGAAGCGATTACTTTTATGATAATTACTGTGCTTTTAACGTTTGTTTGTTGGCACAGCCTGACTCGTTTAAAGCACGACTTGTGTTTTTCGCCTCTCGTCTCGCTAATCCCCGCCTGCGAGGAGATTGCAGTCACGTTTTCAATTGAGACGTTATCTTTTGTGCAACTCTTGTGAGCGCAACTAAGTAGGACAATTATTTTGTTTCTTAGATTTAAAACTTTCTTAGTCGTCTTTACTCACCGCTGTTTGGGCGGTTTTTTATTGTTGAATTTCAATTTAGCTTATGCTCTTAGATGTTAATGACGAATTCGTTATAAGTCTAACTGAAATGAATTTATGACCAAACAGAAAGGAATGTGTAAGATTTTTGTTATCAGCAAACAAGAAGAGATATAAAGATACGCCTAAACTATGTTGAAATTCTATATTATGACATTAAACAACTGAGATTTTATGTTATAAAGTTAAATAGATATGCATCTAGCTATACTCGAAAAAAAAAAGTTCTATGATGTGACTTACATTTATAATGTTGGCATTTTTGAATATCTTCTTCATTGCTTACAGGCCTAAAAATGAACGGTCTGAACGGGCACAGTAACGGCGAGGTGAACGGCTCTGGGGACATCATCACGCAGAACCAGCAGCGCGGCTGGTGGACAATCGGGCTCATCAACTCGCGGTACCGGTACCTCACCGCCGAGACCTTCGGCTTCAAGATCAACGCCAACGGCACCAGCCTCAAGAAGAAACAGATCTGGACGCTGGAGCCCGCTTCTGGGAATGCTAATGACAGTAAGTAGTATTTGTTTTGTCTAATATAGGTACACTCATCAAAGGTGTCTAGGGATCAAGCACGTTTGTTTTTAATGATGTTTTTAGAAACCATAGGATTTTTTTTAATTAATTTTATTTTCGAATTGAAGTTATAAAATTGACGTGAAAAAATCCACCGGTGTTAAAAAAAAGAATTAAACAACCTGATTTTCAGTAATTAGCAAAAATGTGCTTGGTCCAAAGACACTTTTAATGCGTGTAGTTTACCCATTTTGTAGTCTAAACTCCTGCGGTAGAAGAGGAGGAAAGTTACCGTGGTGTGAACAAATTATTTTATCTTTTATAGGGTTTAACTCGATTGTGATTTCGTTAATCTGTGCAACCTTGTTATCGTGAGTGCGCTATCGCGGTGCGGTTCATTTCACACCAGCGCTTCATTGTTGAAGATAACATAATCCCGCTATGATAGCTTTATTAGTTCGCTATTATAATAGCAATTACAACTTGGACAATTATATCCGATTGGTATTGAAAGATTGAAGACTGAAACATTCCAAAGTTTCCTAGTTGATTATTCCTACCTATATTTTCGTATAATCTGCCCTAGAGACTTACAACGAGTGGTGGTTAAGTTAGAATTAGTAAACAATGTTGAATTCGTATGGTTACGTATATTCGTATCAATCATTTTTATCTGCCTGATCAAATTCCAATTACATGTATCCTGGCATCCTGTCGCCACTAATTGTGGCAAAAACCACCCCTCGTGCCCCGACTAACCCTTCTCATTTCGTATACACACTGGAACTGTGTCGTATCTATGTGTGCCGCAGAACCCTTAATTTTGACTGACATTGTACATTAACCTATGTTCAATTAACGTTCCATATTGGCAACCCCTTAAACTCGAATTTTATTTTATTTCCGTTCGATGGCGGCAATAAACAAACATTAATTGGGATTTTTGATTCCATTTGTTACCACTGGAAATTACTGGGATATTTTAAATTCCATTTATCGCCAGTCGCAACAACAGATCTTTTTATCCCATTTGTTACCATCTGGTAACATATGGGTTTTTTTCCCATTTGACGCCAGTGGTGACGACTGGGAATAAGCGCGACTGGCTCCAAAGATGCGACCTTAGAGTCCGAACCGTTGGTTTGTTTGAATAAAATAAACAAATATCCGCGATTTAGGTAAGAAAAAATAGTTTATTTTCTGTGTAACAATCGCGAAAACCTAAGAACTCAAAATGTTATTCCAGTCATACCATATCTAGGCAGACGAAAGTTATATTGAATTACCTTGCAAGGTCTGCGAATGATTAGGGAGTGCTACTAAATATTTATACATAATCCACGTAAATGTATGGAACACGTCAACATACTTAAACTTTATCGCAGTTTTGAATTAGAATAAACCCTTAAAAGTCTCGGAGGTCTCTAGAAGTATCGAGTCTTTAACATTATATTAAAGAATAGCTATTTTCTGTGTTCTCAAGTGTGGATATATGGTACATCAACCACAGAAGTTGCCACTATATTTTTCCTTTACCAAAAGTACACCAAAGTTCAATTCTACTTTTCCACCCAATCATAACATATGCACAGTCCAAATCAACACGGTTCCTGTCACTCCCGAGTCCCGTCGTAATGGTGAGGGCGTCACCCTCATCACCCTCACTGTCAAGGTCCCGGCTGGATCGATATTGTTTGGCTTCACTCCACTCTATCTCACTTGATGCAACATGCAAGTGGCGGACATAACTAAATTACACGTTTGTCTACGAGCTGAGTACATTTTTAAGATTATTTTATTTTCTGGTTAATGACTGAGGTATGTAGGGTTCTGTTGATTTTTACCAGTTACAGCCGGTAGTCATGGTGTGTGATCAAGTTGTTTACACATTTTTCGTCTAGCATTTTGTAGTCTTTCTCCTCTTAGAACGTTTTAGAATACATAATTGTACATTGTGCATTAAAGACGGTAAATAAGAAATTACCAACGAGGGACTATTAGCAGCCCGAAGCCAAAGTCTGAGGGATTTAAAACTCGAGTTTGTATTTTTTTACCGCCCATGATACATACAATGTTTTTTATCACATTTGCAAAGAATTAAATACAACATAAATATGGGTCACTTCCATCCTCTAAGGTCACAACACAACATTTTTTTTTTCTTTCTTATTTCTCTTTGCTATTCGCGGTAAGCGTTTTAGCTACATACAGAGTGATTTGACTGACATTGTTATGGATTAGGCAAATGGCTTTTTTTTTTAATTTTAAGCGAATGTTTTAATTTTGAACTTATGTAACGTCCTTGCTTGATCTTGAACCTGACCTATGTAAGGAAGTATGTCGTGTTACAAATAAAATAAACTCCTTACCGTCTGTGGCTGTAATGGAAAGACAAACGGCCCCTGGGTTTTATTTGGTGCTAGTGTGATGAAAAAGCAATTTATTTCACTTGTCGAAAAGAAACGCAGAAAGTCTGTATAGAAGTTTTTTTTGTTAGCCCAATCTACTTAAGAGGTGCATGAGAAGTCATAATCAACGATCCAAAATGAACCTTCCGTGTAGCGTCTGTCAGTCAGCGTCCGACAGCCCGTCAGCCATACGTACAAGCCGGCGATTTAAAAAAGGTCCCAACACCTGTCATATTACTTAACAAGTTTATAAATATGTTACAATTCAGAAGAGATCTTTTCTCCTGACCAACTGTTCGAAATCGCTTTAGGGAATGTTTTCAAGGGTAATATACTTTCGGTTCAGCACTTCGCGTCTTTCATGTTGTCAAAATGTCAAACTCGTCTATAGTTAAGGCCATCGACTAGGTTATGATGTCGATGAGTTAAGGCATATAAAAAGGTAAACGTACGAGAATTAGTGGAGAACGTTCGCTTTTGAAAGCTGAGTAACACCGTATTACTCAAGACAGAAATAACTGACACTACTGTAAGTTAGTGAGGAGACACAAATCGTGTGATGTGTTCGTTGTTAAAAACAAGATTTAAAAAAGACAACGTTCAAGTCATCACAGCAAAAGTAACGCGTCAACTAGATTCGTTAACCTCGTAACCTCTATTAATTTCAACTTCTGAATAAGCACAAAAAACAGAATTAATTAGATAAGAGGTAAGAAAATTAGTTATATAACAATCTATGATTAGGTGCCTTTAGTTCATAACTAAAAAAGGGTCTACAAATTATATTTTCAGGTTTAATTGCCCGATATTGCGCTTAAAGAGTAAATGAGGGATCTTGTCCAAAACTGGATTTACGAGGTTTTCAATTTAGCCGAAGAATAATGGTAGTTTCATCAAATACATATTGTAATAAGTAACGTATTGTGAACTTATGATTCCGCGAAACGGAACGCAAACACTTGATCACACTTCTTCAATTTTAACTTTCGCATGCAAACGTGATGTATTCTGCCACTTTCTACCGTCTAACAGTGATTCTGAGCATTTCAAGGTTTAAAGTTTGTCCATGATTGACAACTTAATGATAATTTTACGCGCGTTCCTGAAATGTATTCTATTAATTTCATTCCAAAGAACAAAAGGAACAATTCACGGATCTCAAGTACCGCTTAGAAATAACCCGAAACGTGAACTTCTCTTAGAGTTATTTTAAAAATAGCCTCACGTTGCGATCCCGAGTACACCCCGCACACACGGAGAGACTAGTTTTAAATCACTAGTTGGGAGATAAAGTCTACGCTCTAATTGGTTACCAGCACACCGCCTGGAGGACTGCCGAGAGAAGATTCAGGTTTCCAGTTTCAGTTTCCAGCAAACCGTGCCAGACGCTTTTATAAATTAAGCCAGGGAACGAACTAGCGGACCTTACGAATTTGTTCAATGTTCAATGTGCTTGTTGCAGATATTTGTTTTTGGTTTAAAACGACTTTTTTGCCGTAGCGCCATCTGTGATTGGCGATATGGACTGATGGTTTCTCGCAGATGGCGTTACGGCAATAAAGTCGTTAAAAACCTAAAACAAATATGTGCAACAATCACATGCAAAAATTCGCAAGGTCCGCTATTTCGTTCCGTGGTTAAGTTGGCATAGCGTCTGACACGGTTTGCTGGAAGACGCTGGTTCGAATACAGCCGGATCGCAGGAAATTTTTTATGGTGCTCGATCTTTGTATTAATAATTAAAAGTTTTGTATCTCGTAAAGTGTAGGTATATCGGAATACGCTAGTAGTACGCGTAAAAGCGTATTGAACGTATTCGGAGGTTTGCCTCATTTGAACTCAATATTTTGTAGAACTGTTGAGTCATGCATTGGAAGTAAACGTTGGTCTGTTTGAAAAAAGAAATAAACACGATTTAGATCCGAAAAAATAGTTTTTATTCCCGATTTGTAACAATTCGCTCACGAAACCAAATACTATCGTAACTCGAAATAAAAATGAAATAAGAATGAAACCAATACAATATGGTTAAAAAATATTTATTTCTCTTAAGGAATATACATTTTAAGACACATCAGACTTAATAGTGAATACACGCGCACTATAAAATAAATCTATGTAACCATCACCAGTCACTGTGTATTAGTACAAAAGTAATATAACTATGTTCTCGTTTATTATAAATAGATAATTAAGTATTATGTACAAATAAAAATAATCACATCATTCCCAATAAAAATAATTCAGTTTTTTTTTAACCTAAGAACTCGATATGTTGACATTATGAACTCGGACATGGGTTTTCTGTTTAGTATTTTACGAGGGCGCATCGCTTTACCCGATGTCTTCTCAACAACCTCTCTGTTCGCAGCAAATGGTCGGAGCAAGCGTAAGCGTAGGCCTCTCTTGTCGTCCATTTTACTCCGCACTACTCTTGCACGGCAATAATAAATTTGAAATCCGTTTATAGGATCTAGACGCAATTTGAAACAGAGATTGGAATCGGTGTTAATTGTTCCCATTAGATGTGTTAATAAATTTATGAACAGTATTTTTTATTTTATTACATAAATTTTTATGTCTTTTTAAATGTCTATAACATTTCACGCGATGTGTTATTATTGCATGTGTACTCAATATTATTTACTTTAACTTGTTTACTTTTTTTATTGTGTAATTAAAAACAAGTACCTTGTTCAGGTTGATTTTGGCTGTTAGCTTGTAGAACCTTCAGTTAGTGGTTTTAAAAAAAAAGATACTATACGATATTTTGGGATCTGTGAAAGGCCCAAACATTGGTTTGTTTGAAAAAATAAATAAATATAGGTATGCGCTATTTGCATATCTAAAAAATAGTTTCATTTCCAATTTAATTTTCAGTTTACATATTTTTTTATTACCTTTATTGGGTTGGCCAAAAAGTACGTGCGGTATAAGTGTTAATGAGAAATATTTAAAAAGGTAAATATCAAACTTTTTAATCAGTTATTATGACCAAAGATGGGCAAGCGACCAGGTTTTATCCGGCGCTTTGTTATGCTTAAATCGGGTTAAAACATGGTTAAAACCCATTAACGCCGGAAATCGAAGGGAAAAACGATTAATAATAATAATTATTATTATTGAGTCAATACATTTGCATGGTATCTTAAAATTACGTGACATTGAAAAAAATTTATCACATTGTTACAAAATGTTTATTGCTTTCTGATCTGGACGATTCGGTTTGCCTTTCTGTTGAATCGATTCGCTTGAAAATTGCAGTGAAACAAATCGTACAAAAAATCATTAGGTCGTAAGATAAGATTCGATCGATCTTCGTTTAAATCGAATCGTAATAATTACACCCTTAGTCGTGACAATCCACAGGATTGCAAGGTAGGCATGTGTGGAGTGGAGGTGCATTATTTTCATCTTAAAAAGATTTTTTTTACATCGAAATTTGTAAAATAACTTTGAAATTATAACAAATTCCGTATCCGCCATTTCCGCTCACGATTTTGGACAAAAATAGGTAAAAACCCAGCGCTTTGGGTAAACCCTTTGTAGTGGGTTTTAACCCATTGCCTATCTCTGTTTATGACCATTTTTATTTGTAATTTTTAGCCCTCTTTCCGGTAATTTTAGAATTCTCCTTTCAAATTCTTATTACTTATTTGATAGTCACTTCGTTATGAAACTAGTGTCCATTCACAGAATTTTGTAAAGACCGAAACAAGTGACAATCTGAAGAGGCGATGTCGAGCGGATACGGTGGACGAGGTAACGCATCCCCGAACATTTTTCATGAATTGTAAACAAATAAAAACTTAAAACTTTCCCTCTTAATATAAAAATATTAGTTTTAAAATAACCATGGACAAGAAATGACATATCGAGTTCTTAGGTTTTCGCGATTATTACACAGGTCCTTGCAAAAGAAGTCCGTTATCTACCCAGGATGCTGCGAGAGGCCATTGAAATTAAAAAACATCCTAATTTCAACAGGGAAGATGGTTTCTCCGTACCACCAGTTTGGGATCCAGTATTTCCTCTCATGAAAAATCCCAAACAGACATAAGACTGCAGTACTAATTAATATGTTTTAATTTATTCTAAATTTCATTATTAATTAATAACAAATTTAACTTAATAAAAATTCAGGTTGTTAAAATAAAATAATTTGTAAAACATAATGTAGCGTTAATTGGAATGTTTCTTTGTAAAATTAAAAATAAGGTATTTAATTAATAACTTTTGTAACTATAGTGAAAAAATAACCCTATGCATTAATATGTAACCTATATGCATTAATATTAGACATAACTGGTTGAAGATTGTACCACCTCAGTCAACCGTGACCATGGGACCTGTAAAGGGCCTGAAACGTCGGTTTGTTTGAAAAAACAAATATACGCGATTTAAATCCGGAAAAATAGTTTCATTTCCTAAGAAATGACATTTTAAAAGAAAAAAAGATTTTTGGTTTAAAGTTAGCTAGTGGCAAAAACCGCACGGGCCATCCCAATATTTATGTAAGTGAGCACTTGGTACTTCAATTTCATTTCACTTCATTCTTTTTTAACGAATTATTATCAATTTCTTGTCTAATTTATCGCATTGTGTTACTCGTTAATGCTTAATGCTTACCATCTGGTTATTTTCGAACAGTTTGTTACTTTATGTCGAAATGTGAACAACTGGCATTAGCACAATGTTATTAGGCTATTCTTGGTTTAAAATAAAAAACAAAACTCATTAACTGCCATTTTTAAGTTTGTTGAATGTCACGATGTTGACCACCATTGATTTTTATGAATTCACTCCACTAGCTTGTTATAATTATTAATACAAAGATGGAACACTAAGAAAAAAATGTCTTCGATCCGGCCGGATTCACCACGGCTAAAAAGTCGGTAAAAACCAAAAATTAAGATCTGAAACAGGCACATAGAAAAATTCGTAAGGTCGTAATCATTACATCGCATGGGTAATGTACAAAACTTCTTAAATTAATATAGATTCTAGTCATGTAACCTGCAGGGCACCGCAATTTATCTTAATAATACAAAAAGTATATAATTTATATTCAATTTAAAATAATTCACATTGTACTTATATTATTTAGTTAAATCTATAAAGGTCCGCTAGTTTTTTCAGTGGTTTAGTTGGCATAGCGTCTGGCATGGTTTGCTGGAACACGTTGGTTCGAATCGAGCCGGATCGAAGGATAATATTCTAAGTGTTCGATCTTTGTATTATTAGTTATGAACTAACTGCCTTTTTAGTGCATGTCAATTCAATACTTATCAGCACTGAAAATAAAGCAAGTGGTACAAAACGTTTAGTCCCATTAGAGGCTGAAGTGGGCATTGCGCAACGGTTCAGAGAGATGTTAATAGTCCTAAGCCGCTGCGGCGTGATCGATCGCCTGATAGCATGCATGGACGTTGCCTAGAGCTGGTTCCGCTTTAAGAAGGACACACTTCACACCAGTCATCAACAAATCCAAATCTATGATATCTAGGAGAAACGCAGATACCGATTCTATTTTTTTTGTTGGTAAAATCGATATTGTACTTCACAAAATATTGGAATTAAAGCAATAATCAATAATATTTAAACGACATTAAATAAATGAAATGGTACTCTGACGTGTACTATAACAGTAATTCTAAAAACTAAAGACAATTTCCTACCTATAAGTCGTCGAGTTAATGGTAGAAAGTATCGTGCCCAATTTAATCGAAATTGTATTACATTTCTCACTACAGTAAAGTATACTTCTATCAAAGATCGTTGATTTCACCGTCAAATTGCATGCCCGTAAAGCGTCTATTACTTAGTGCAATATCAGAAAGACAAGTTTATTAGCAGATAGATAACGTCGTGAGGACCCGAGGCGGCTCGCGACTCGCTCGCTGGTCATGCTCATGCCTTTGTATTCGACAACTTGCTAAAGTTGCAATGCGCAATTGCACAACTGCACTATACTAAATAATCAAGCACCGCTGGAGTCACAAGAGCATTAGCGTCGATACAATAAATGCAAATATTATCTCCTAATGCGTGTAGTCTCAACAAGACTAAAAATTTAAAAACCTACTTTAATGGAGGTTTCAAAACGGTTTGCAGTCACACAATGTGGTCTATTCTATAGGTTTTAAGACTTTCGTGGTTAGTCACTAAACGTTTACCGCAGTTACAGGTTCTTTGCCGTGGCATTACTTTTTATTCTCCTCTCGGTATCTCATAGCGGTTACACGCTCCATGGTTTATAGAATGATTCTGAGTGAATTAGTCTAGACCAAGATGTTCAATCCAGACATAGAGTAAATCGAAATGTCCGCGAGTCGGCCTTGTTGAAATGAAAGTCTCCAGTGACATCAATTTATTAAAACCTCCTCATCCTGACATCGACTGTAATTAGCCAAGACATGTTCTACGAACGGCACTTCGATCGCCTCCTTCATTGATGCAAAATCGTATCGGGTTACTGCTATGTGGGATTACCCGTTAAGACATAGGATTAACTTGTTGGATAAATGAGTTGTTTCTTCAAACAAATTGCAAATATAATTATTTTTAGTAATGGAAATGCGAAAGTAAACTAATTACGAGTCGAATCGTTACATGCAATCTTGTACAGCGTAAAGTACTATAATAGAAGTCATTTTCGCAATATTTAACAATAGAATCAACAATAGATGGGTAACAGAATTATTACACCACGGTTCAACTTATCTTAGCAAAATCCTTCGCTCGCTCGCGAGTACTGACCACCGAATAACCAAAAACAATATCTGTCCGATCTATTAAAACCTCCCACCAACGAGATTTTCCGGCCTAACCGAACAAGAACCCCAGGTGACAAGTTGCCACTTTTTTCGTTTAACATTCTCAATTTATTTATTTTTTAAATTAATGAACCTAACAGTACAATCAAATTTGAATCACGAGGAAACTTGAAAAGTAACTTATGTCATCACGAGTGAATATTTCAATTACTTTGTTTTGTGTGTCAGGCATGATCTACCTGCGGTCGCACCTGGACAAGTACCTAGCGGTGGACTCTTTCGGGAACGTCACATGCGAGTCTGAAGAAAAGGAGCCCGGCAGCAAGTTCCACATCAGGTAAATAATAATAAATATCTTTATTTGTCTCCGCAATACAAAACAAAGAAAATTACAATAGAGATACATAATACTTTTGCCATCATCACATGCCGACACTTATTTGTACACTACGTTTTTGTCTTCCATTATTAGAACAAAACGTGTAATCGATGTAAAGGAAAGGAAGACACGTGCCGCATCATCAACACCGTAAAAGAAGTCAATAAGAAATGTAGCGAGATGAAGCCGTCGCTCAATATCCCAAACTCTTTTAACTTCCTAATTTCATTATGCACCCGGAATCGTCTAGATATTGATAAAACTTCACTCCCCATAAATACGACCCTTTTAAACCGGAACGAAGGGGCGACGGTGTAATTGAGTTATACTGCTTTATAAAAAACCGAAAAGCTTTCAAGACGCGTGCTTATAAGAACCTGGAGGATGGAGAGACAATAAAATACATTTTTTGCGAGCTCGCGACGTTCCTTCCGAATACTAATTTCCGAGCTGCAGATTCTGAGTCACCGGAAACAGAAGTTATTTGAATGCATGTTTATTACTTTTTGAGGCATTAAGTGCTATTTGGATTCGGAAGTAGGCATGGGCTGATACCGAATTTGGGATGTAGCGTTTCTTATTGTGATTCTAGTCAATTTACTTATATTTAGAATTATCATGTTCCCTGTCTTGTGTAGGAAAATGGTCTGTGTCCCGGTGAACATTCGTTACAGATTGGACAGTTATTGAAATGAGAGTGTCTGCAGGACAGACCAAATAAATGTATTCGTAAGCACGAGTACGCTGTTCAACAATACTCTTTTCATCTGTACTTATAACTCTTCGATATCTAAACCAACAATATTGACTTTCCCAAGGGTGACTTGATCCGACTTCCTCTACGGTTCAATTTGCTTTCTTTCCAACAACATTCTCAGCCTCGTATTTCGCGATTAACCTTGTTATATTTTTGTAACAGTGCGTGCTTCCTGTATCTCATTGCAATCAAGAAGACTAAAGACATAATAGCGTGTAAGGTAATAATAACATAGAAACACTGCATCAAATATTTGTTAACACCACGTTGTATATTGTTGCTGTTCTATTCCAAAAATTTACAAATCACACGACTTTTTGTCTTGTGGAATTATGGTGACGTCGTATCTGGCAATCGCAGCAACCCGCTGAGTCAAAACACTATTGTTAAAACCATTCATTAGCTGAGACAATGTTCGAATATGCGCTGACTCACTTTCTCCAATAATCACCACATCATGTACTATAGGGATTTAAGTACGTGCGTAGAGGGATGTTTCTTGGATGTGACTCAGTGGATGAATTTAGTTTGGGGTGAATCAGTTCGCTGGAAATCTGAAATGTATTTCGAAACTTACTTAAATGAATGTGATGAAAGCTTTACTTCAGCAATTTCTTAGTTAATTATCGGAAGGTTCGAGATTTAAAGGCAGGCAAATAAATTGTTAACAGGCAAACGAAAAAACATGGATGAAGCATATTCGCAAGTTCGCAGATACGATTTACTGTTACTGAAATGGAAGTTGTATGATTTAATAAAGCAACTAGGTTGAGATGCTTTTAAATTACTATTCACAAGACTCGGTAATAAGTCCTCAGAACAATTTGACGTGATCTTTGATTTCCCAATCAGCGCTATGAGCCAAGTAAACAGTTCTAAGTACCTTAAGGACCTTAACCTTTCCCTAAACATACTAACCACCCAGAGTATGTTGATTCTACACATAACGCGTCACCTACACAAACAAGTGCCAACTTAAATTAGAAGGGGTGCCTTTTCCCGAACGGGGGTAGCTCCGGCGACATAATGTAGCGTTACTCTACAGTCGTAATACGGTATATTCTGCCTTGATAAGTGCGTGACTCTTGATGTGTAACGATAGGGAATGTAAAAGCCGAATATTGTGTGGAATTTTAATGAACGCATTGCGAAATTATGTCTTTCAATTGCTTTGAGAACGATTTGGAATCTATACGAGGCCCGAAATCAGAGTTACATGGCAAATAAAAGGGAATTGATATAAATCGACGATATGGGTTTGAATTAACATTAACACGCAATAAGACAATCTCAGTACAGAGTACTAAAAGAACCGACCTCAAAAGTTCGTGGAATTACATCTATTTGCCAAGTTTTATTGTAATCGGTTACCGGAAAGTGCGCGAAACCGGATTTTCTAGTTTGCCGCCCTTAGAGGTGGAATATTTTCTTCAAATTTAAATGGGACCAATACTGAGGTACCCTCTTTCCAACAAAAAATAATCAACTAAATCGGTTCACAAATCCGGGTTATCGCGTAACATACATACAAAAAAAACCACAGATGAATTGAAAACCTTCTCCTTTTTTGAAGTCGCTCAAAAATTGCTATGTAAACAGCGGCGTCCAAAGATGAAAATGATTTGATTCCAACCAAGGCAAAGCTTCAAGAAATGTATTGATAGAGAAACGGAGCAAGTCATGGCATTAGCGTTCTTTAATGTCCCCTTAATGTCCTCAGCAGATATAAAAGGTATAAAAAGATATAAAAGTGGAGCGGCGGGTGCGGGGGAATTGACATTTCATTTGCCTTTATATTGGATTGATGGTTTCGTTGATGTACAACTAGCAAGGGTTATGTATTATATACAACGTGAGTCCTTGTTACACACAAGTGGAACAAGTTTTATTCTACTATGTTGATATAAAATATTTATAATAAAACAGCTGACACTCGTTACTCTGTCAATAGTAAACAATAGTAAACTGTGAATGTAAAAAGACCGTCAAATTTTGGCTTAAGAGTAAAACCTACAATGATACCGAGGACTTGATGGAAGTTATTTCATAATTTATATTTATATAATATGTAATGTTTAACTACTTATCTTTTATAAATTGTAACGACTTATAACTACTTATCTTTTATTTGTTAAATTTATAAAATCTTTATTTTTTTTTTTAAGCTTTGTTATGAAAAATGCACTATTATGCCTAAAATACAGGTACACATGTACTTAGTTTAGGCATCGCAATTGCACTATTAGGCACTAAGATTAAAATGTTTAATTTTACCATGATTATTTTATATAATTTAGAAATTTTTTTTGTTTTGTTTATTACTGTTTATTTTAATATTTTATCTTCAATTACATTGTTTTCATTATAATTGTATTAGATTAAGTAATATTGAAATAAATTTATCTTTATCTTTATCTTTAATAGACTGTATACACTTCATTTGTCATTAATATCTGTTGGGCCTATGACCTGCTCTAAACGGACTACAGGCATCCATTAACCAATACTCCCAAGACATTATTTCAATAGGCAAAATTGCGAGCTTACAACCCTGTATAATTTGTATAACAATAATATTAATGATGATAATAGAATTGCAATAGAAAAGCGAGATCAACAACTAACAAATTATGCGCAGCTGACAAAACTTTTCTTTTAAGTTTAGTCCCCTTTTGTACTTCTACATGAAATATGTGGGCGCGCGCACTCGCTATGTACGTACTTCACGGTACTAACTCAAAACTACTTCACGGGCAAAGGAATGGAAATTGTCGTCACTCCATAAGGAGTACCTCCCGCTGCGTCTCCTCGCTGTTCCCTCGCGGCTAGACAACTTGCTGCGCATTTTGATTAATTCTCCTATTGTTGCCGCACCGGGACCTTTCCTCTATTCATGTTTATCATTGTTATTTCCATCGCTGCTTTCATTTACATTATAACGTGGAATAATTTATATTTTCTTACTTACTTAATTATTAAATTATAAGTACCAAGTGACGGGACGCACAAGTCGTGCGCCTGGTGGTAAGCGACACGCCTGTCCATAACAGTTGCAGTGCCACTCAGAACTTTAAATCGCAGATTTGAGGGGCATGGTCACTGCGCCCGTCACTCTGAGACATAAGTTGACAAGTCCCATGTGCCTGTAATTTTACCAACACCCTTACCCTATTAAACGCACGAATGCAGTAAGGCTAATAATACTGCTTGGCGGCAGAAATAGGTAAGGTGGCAGTCCTTCCCTGGACGAACTCTTTCACAAGGTCCGTTCAGTGCCGTGTTTTTTACCCGATAGATAAAATTCGAACTTTAAGCACTTTCTTGAACACGACAATGATTTTGTTCAGCGTGTCGGAAGACGGCTCCGGGCGCTGGGCGCTGCGCAACGTGGAGCGGGGCTACTTCCTCGGCTCGAGCTCGGACAAGCTCACCTGCACCGCCAAGGTGCCCGGCGACGCCGAGCTGTGGCACGTCCACCTGGCTGCCAGGCCTCAGGTAATGTTAAAATAAGGCCAAATCAAATGTAGGTAAGCAAGTTACGTTTGAAATCGGTTAAGGCAGGTAAATAAACGAGGTGAAACTTCTCATCAATGTTAAACAAGTTTTATTGTGAGGTTCCCTCTCAAATTGTTAATAAAATATATCAGATGTTCTACACTTAGAATAATAACGCATAGAAACATAGTCCACACACGCTAAGTGAGGCAAAATGAAGCGCGCCAAAAGGGCCTACACGAGCGGGCGGGCCTTCAGTGCTCAAAGTCAACTTGCACCGCGAACAGCTCCAGAATTTTAGCTAAAAATGACGAAATGTGCGGTAAATGAGTGTAAAAATACGTCAGACAAACATAAAATAGACACTAACATTACATTCCACAAGGAAGTAACGCGTTTCAACTTGTATTTTTATATAAATAATCACTAAAACCGAAAATTAACCTACTACTAAAACTAGCCTACATGAATTTGATTTTTGCCTCACTTGTGACAGTTCGTTTGATGCGTTATTATTCTAAGGTTCTACATATCGAAGTGCTTATATTACGGGAACA